CCCGTGTAGCCTCTGTTCACGGCAGCCAGGGCTGGCCATGGACAGGGGCTGCTGGACTCAGCATGTGTTGGGCCCAAGCAGTCCCAGCTTGTGCTGATTGCTGCGCCTCTGCATTTTAGTAAGAGCCCGAAAGCTCTCTCTGCATTTTAAATGCAGAGTGCAGTGCAGGCAGCTCGAGCCGGGTCCTGAAGCTACCCCTGCTGAGGTTCTGCAGAGCTGTCCTATTGACTAATCATGATTAGCCTGATAACTGCATTTTAACAGTCTTACCCTGTATGTTGCTTACTTGAATCTATCTGTGTTCAAAGCCTCATTAATTCCATTGTTACCTCTTACAGTAGAGTCTCGATTATCCAACCTAAGCGGGATTGGAGGATGGTCTGATATTGGAAATGTCAGATAATACTGATAATTTAAAATTTAAAAAATTTTCCCTTTGTAATACCATGCGGGGTCATGAATCTGCTGCCTTGATCAGCCCTTGTATTTCTCCCCAAATGGGAGTAAGATCCTGAGCTCTGCCTTATGGCAGGAGCGCAGCTCTCGCCCTGCGCCACTCCACGTCCCCCGGCAATGATTTTCCAGAGCTGTGTGTGGATTGCTTGAGCCATGATGGGGGGCAAGGCACTTGCCGCTTTCCCCAGAACGGGAAAAAAGTGACTTCGCCAACGGTGAATTCTTCAGCCACAAGAGGGCGCTGCAGACCTGCCAACCAGAGTTCCTGCCTAGCCCTGGAAAAGGGAAAGGAAAAGCAAGGCCACTATGGTGTGAAGCTTCCCTGAAGCCTCTTGACGTGACGTGACGAGCGGCATGTCGGATAAAATGGAATGTTGGATAAACAAAGGTCGGAAAATCGAGACTCTTCTGTATTCTAATTGTTGCAGCTTTCATGTGGTCTCCCACACATCCTGAACAGTAGAGATTGGAAGATGCCTGCATTAGTATCAGCATCAAGAAGTACATTCCTTCACCCCTATTTTCATACATTCATGTCCTTTTTGAGTTTTTTACCCTGTCCTTTCTTTAAAAACAAAACTACTGTGTTCTTATCCCATTTTAGCTCCCAGCTTTGCTCCCCCTCTTCAGAACTTGCCATCATCAGTGGAAGAGCCATGTCTGCAGTTCCTTTTCTCTGGAGCAGCCTTTCTCTGCCAATAATACTCCCATCTCCTAATAATTAAAATCTAGCAATATTCATGTTGCTAGATATCTTTGGTTTCTCTTGGCCTGTGTTATTGGTGTTGTTCGTTGTGAGATTTTTGCATTTCCCCTCTCTTGTTACCTCTTTAAAGCTTACCCTAGTAGTTGTATGAAAGACATAATTTAAAATAAGGTTTAAATGGGCTGTCTTATGTTCTCATGCAGAACCTTTGTCTTATGAAAATCCTAAAAAAAAATTGTTTCAATTATGGTAATACTTTAAATATGATAGGTCCTTTCCAGATGTAAGATGCAATGCCTTGCCCACAGAGCTGACAGAATAAGTGTAATTCATGAAGTCTTATCAGTATATAAAATATGATATTTTCTGTGTTTGAAATTTTTATGTTGGGTTCTTTAACTATTTGATAACATGAATTACATTGATAAAGGAGTCTGTTATAGACTTTGTTTCTTTCCTATTCATTAGCTTTGGTACTTGAGAGAGCTTCTGTTTTCTCTACTTATGTAGGAGTAGCCACTAGTAGAGATAGCTGGATGACTGAATATAAATTCTGATGAAACTATCTTTGTGTCACCATTATCACATTATGCCTTATAATGTTTTTTCTCAGGTCTTAATTCAGTTGTGTCGACTTGCTGATGGTACTGAAAAGCCTGTGCTACAGCTAAAAGTTTTAGGATTAGGCACCGAACTTAAACTAAGAACATTTGATATGGCTGCAAATGCTTTTCTTAGAGAAGTCTGTCTGCTGTGTCCAGAGTATATGGGTAAGAATGTACATGATGCTCTAAAATTGATCTGCAAACCTACAATAGCATGTTGCAGAATTCATTCTTGGAAGTCTGTTGGACTGCCTTATGTCAGCTCAAGTTGCAGGATCCATTCCTCAAAAATTAATCACGAATGTAAATGGGATTTGAGAGAAAACAATTATTCATGGACAGTATTTCTTTCAATTTATCCCTTTTGATGTCAAGAAAAATGCAGCATTTATGAAATGCACTATTCTTGGCCACACAGGACATTTCACCACATCCAGAAGTTTTCATGAACTTATTTTTATTACAGTCATCTTTGTCCACTAGACACATGATTTTAACTATCATGAGAAGTACCTGTGTATCTCTGAAATGTGAATCTTATTTCATAAATTAGGCTATATCCACATGCACTCTGGTTACCTTGTGGGGTGTGTGTAGAGCATTTTAGGTTTCCATTTAAAAATATTTTTATGCTAATGATTGCCAAGGAAATCTTACAAACCATGAGCTAGTGCTGTGGTCTTGAAATTGCCTCCTGAATAAAATAAGAATCGGAGGGCTATATTGCTTTGGTCCATTGAAGTGGAGAGCTAACTACATGTGCAATGATCACAATCTAAATGTCAACATAAAATTTTGCTGGTGATCATTTTAGTAGAAACACTCATTTATTCTGGGTTTGAGAGTGTCACTGGTGATCCTACACTATAGTGACTGATAATCTGTTTTACAATTCCATATAGTATGTATCTGATTATAACAAATGTTTAGATTGTTTTAATTATTTGCATTAGTTTGAAAAAGTGTAAACTAAGCTATTTTAACATTTTTATTTGAAAGATAAAGACAAACCTGTTTACATCATTACAACACTGGATAACACAGAGGATGATCTTCTTACCCTAGAATATGTAAAGGTAAGAAACAATGAAGCTAGAAATGTGATTTTATTAATCTTTCTGGTGATTATCTTTAAAACTTGGTGCATATGATATCTAAAAAGTCAAATTCATGCATCTGTAATAGATTTTGCAGTAAACTTTCTGTATGACATTTGCACTTTTTTTTTTCTGGGGGATAGGCTGATATTAATGGACCGGAATTGAAAACTGCTTACAAGAATGTTCTGCAGCTGTTAAAGGTATGACTGTGATTTGTTTCTAAGTTTGTATATTATTATTATTTTGCAAAAATATTTTTTGGAAAATGTGTTCCTATTATTAAAAATATCTTTTTTTAGGTGAATTTCTCCTCTCTAGATGTTCATTTGCATAATGAAGCACTTCTAAATGCCATGAATTACCTAAATAATTTTCTACCAAAACAAGAGACTAAAATAGCAGAAGAATTAGTCCAGGAAAAAGAGGAGAAAAAGGATGTCCTTAAGAAATTAAGTAAGCTCATTTTTTGTCTTGGTTTCCCTCTTCCTTTTGCTTTGCTCTTCACCCCATGCCTCCATCACCCAGGACATGTGACAGTCTCATTAGTTTTAGAGGTAGGGAGATGTTCTGAATGACAGAGAAAATGTTAACTGTGTGAAGATGGAGAAGCAGGAAGCCCTTCAGGCTGTTGTATTCCCAGAAATAAGGGAAAGAAAAGCTAACGATTGAAATAATTTTTTAAACTTTGCTGGTCACTAACACTTTTTAAAAAGAGCATGAGAAGAGTAGAAACTGATTGTGTTCAGGCAGAATGTTGTGGAAGAATGTGAACTATTGGTTTTTATGCATCTTTGCCTATACAGGCACTCAGCATTGGGAGTATACTAGGGGCCTCAACTAATTCATTCTTACTGTGTCATTGGTTAGTATAGAAACTGTCATTTAACCTTCTGAGAGTTGTTGGGCGTAGGCTAATTAATGTTAGTTTGGTCCAATATCTAAGTAGGAACCTGACTGGCTGTTCTGCACTTGTTGTACAGTTTATTTGAATTCCTGTTATGGTTTGATTTATGCCCAGCTGTTCAAGTCTGCAGCTGTACAAGGGGATGGGTTGTACCAGTGCTTTTTTGCTTAAAAGAAAAAAAGGTGCCGGTACTCCAGGGGAAAAGTTGTTGAGCTCTGACTGGAGGTGTTGGTACTGCATCTAGAGATGCCAGTATGGAGTCCTGGGTGGTGCTATCACAAAAAAAGCACTGAGTATAGCTATAAATGCTGACCATGGACAAGTATGCTATTAAAAAGGCACATAATGTACTATGGTATGTTATGAGGCTTCCTTATATACACTATGGATTCCTAGATGCCATTTCTGCCCTTGGGGCCATTGCGCTTTACATATCTAGCATTGGCTAGATGCAGAGTAGGTTAGGAATATGGGGAGCACAAAGACCACTTTTCACCCCCATTTTCCCCACCTCTTGGAATGGCAATTGATTTTTCTCTTAGAGCTACTCTTTTTTCCATCTGTAGTAGAAAGGACTAATGTATGTTTAATTTTAAAAAATTAAATATACAGTAAACTTCCGATAATCCGGCACGTTTAGGACCTGGGGGTGCGGGATTATCAGATATGCCGGACTATCAGAAGGGGGGGCTATGAGGGGTCTTGGGTGGAGTGGGGGGGATGCGCCCCTCGGCGCTGAGGGACCAACCCGGCAGCACCCCAGCTGTCCCCGATTCAGCCGCCGCTGAAACTGACCAGCGGCTGACTACAGGAAGCCCGAGGCAGAGTTGCTTTGCCCCCGGCTTCCTGGAATCAGCCACTGATCAGTTTCAGACCAACCCGGCAGCGCCCCAGCTGCTCTGCCCCCAGCTTGCCCAGATCAGCCACTGGTCAGTTTCAGCAGCGGCTGAATCGGGGGAGCAGGGGACAGAGCAGCTCCAATTGTCCAGCTCTCCGGAGCACTTCCGGATTCCAGATGGTGCCAGACCAGTAGGAGTGCCAGACCATTGGATGCCAGACCACTGGAGTTTTACTGTACAAACTCATCCTACTACTGAACTTGAAATGGGTAAGATGTGTCTGTAATTTCTGTGATTGAGGTATTAGCAAAATGTAAACAATAGCTTTAGTGTTGTTTTCAATTTTCTTACAGCCTCAAAAAAATCTAAGTATGAGGATGTCGTGGATCTTCATGTCTGTGCAGATTTATCCTGTTTACGTGTTTTTATTAGAGAACAAAAACGCAGAATATCTGAAATACACATAGAAGGTAAGAGTGAAAGTGAACATGTAGTTACAAAATACTGACAGATATTTAATTATGCTGCTTGGATTTTTTAGGTCTGGATTGCCAAGTGATCAAGAGGAAAGCAGCAACTGAAGTGTGTGCAAAATTAAAGAACATAATTGTTATAGATTCTGATGAGATGGCATTATATAAAAAGGTACGCATTTTCATATATGCTATTAGTTTCTGCTGCCTGGTGGACAGATGGTAATTCTTGCTTAATTTCTGGAATCTATCATCTGACAATATTTTCTCTATTGCTCTGTATGTGTTCCCACTAAGAGGTATGTGCATACTTGTCCAAGAATCTAAATGTCAGTCCCTACCATGACATTGTGATGGCTATACTTAAAAAAAAAAAAAAATCAGCTTTCTGTGACTCATATGCTCAGCTGCCCTTTATGGCCTCTTACTATACTGATTTTCAGTTAGCTGATTTTACATCTGCTGTTTTTATAGTTCAGCACTTACAATTCTTCCACAGATTTTTCAAACTCAGTATTTGTAAAATTCTTTAAGATCCATAGCTTAAAGGGAGCCTAGAAGTATGAAGTATTACTTTTTTTTTGTAATAGGCTGCTGTTAATTATTTCACGTTGAACTTCTCTGTTAGGTTTTTATTATTATTAATTACCCCTTTCTTTATTTTAAGGCTCTTTATATCACAGGAAAAGAAGTCTTCAGTTTTAAAATGGTGTCATATGTGGATGCTACAGATGGTGCTGCCTATACAAATATGAATATTGTGGACAGCCAAGTTTACTTAATTGTTGGTTGCATTCAAGTAGTTTTTGTCAACAAGTTTGTATCAACTATTTTGGTAAATCAGATGTTTGTCTTACCTCTCACCCCACCCCTGTTTCCTCTACACATGTAGGTAGCAGTGTCAAACTGGAAGTGGAAGAGGCACATGCAGGATGATATATATTTACAGGAGCTCCCTTATTTTTGTACAAGTGTCTAGTTAATCTTGGGAAAGAAAAATAATTTTCTTCCAAAATTAAAAAATTCCAACTTTAACACACTCACCAGCGAGAACTGAAAAAGTTAAACTGCAGTACTTGTATAAATCTGCTGTTATTATTCATCATTATTCTACATTTTTATGGTACATGACCAGATTTCAAACTCACCTACACAGTTTGCTGTCACATGACATTGGAGTATTAAATAATCAAAATGATGCCTCTTCCCTAACATTTGTCAAAACTAACCATTCTTAGTGATCTTGGAATAGATTACATGCAGTTCCTTCCATCATGATTCTGAGGTCTTTGAGGCTGGGATTCCAGACTCCATCTTTAATACACATATAAAAATAATTGTACACATGCATTTCAATTCCACTGCAATTATTCTGTAAAGAATCGCTGTAGGAAAATTGTGTGTGTATAATATTGCCACTTATGGAACATAGCATTTGGGACAGAATTTTAAAGGGTAATTAATTAATGTAATGTTCCCATGTTTAATAGCATCAGATGTAATGACAATTTTAAATTATTTTTAGGCTTTTGTAAATAACTTCCAAGCTGCTAAGGAAGCTATTACTGAGGCAACTGTTCAAGCAGCAGAAAAAGCAGCTACCGGTGTAAAAGAATTGGCACAACGGAGTTCCCGAATGGCACTGGATATTAACATTAAAGCACCTGTAATCATAGTGCCACAGTCAGCAGACTCGGCTAATGTCTTGGTTGCTGATTTCGGTCTAATTACTGTAAAGAATGAGTTCTGTATTAAAACAAAGGCACGATGTAACATTCCACCTGTTATTGACTGTATGACAGTGAAGCTGAGTGAACTGAAACTGTACAGGTAAGTGAACTGAAACTGTATATGTATCCATGTTTGTCAGTTCTGAAATGTTTCATCTTGACAATTCTACAAATTGAAGTGGTTTTATCTAAAGAACAGGCTTATGCTCATCACTTATGTAGCACCATTAATGTATGTGACACTACAGATAAATGACAACAGAAATGTTTGTGAGAAAATAATTAAGGTGGTTGTTTAAGGAAAATATTTACCTATACAAGCCTTTTTAATGGAAGTAAATATCCAATGAGTGTGTCCTTGTTGAGCATACCTTAATCCATACACACAATTCACTACTTACAGGGACAAGTTCTATTCCTCATTATATAGATACTATTCAAAAGGATAATGCAAATGCAAAAATGTTTCATAGTTTTGTTCTTCAGATTATTAAGTGAAGGATATTGGATTATGAACATCACTTTATTTCTATCCACAGAACACATTTTGAGAGAGGTTCATTACAAAGTGAAATACAGCTGTTACAGCCACTAAATTTGGAAGTTAGTATTGAACGAAATTTAGCTGCTGCCTGGTATAGTGAAGTGCCTGATATTAAAATACTTGGACGTCTTAAGCCTATGAATGTAAGTATCCAATACTGGAAATGATAGAAAAATATTTGTGGAAAGCTGAGGAATTTCACTGTCCACAAGTGCAAAACTTCTTGACTTGGTGGTGGTTTGATTATGAGGTATAGCGGGAGTGGATTTTCACTGATAGCGGCTGAAAAAGGGGGAGGCAGTGGTGATAAATGGGAGCTTACAAAGACACTTTCATGAATTGGTCTAGGATAATGTGAAATGCAGATGGACATTGTCTCCTTTATTATTATAATATAACTCACTCCTGCAATATCCTTGATTTGTGCTTGTTCGGTATTTTGTATACCTTTTCAGGTATGGTTTGAAACAAGTTCGTGTATTCTTTTCAGAAACTTTTTATGGGTTTCAGTGTATGTCATTTAAAAATCAGGACTGAATAAATGTTTTTTCCAACATGTATTCTCATTAAAATATATAGGCAAAGTTTGTTTTCTATGTTTGTTCATATACATTGGTTTGCCAGACTTAGAGACAAAACTAATGATTCTGAGTTGAAGTATTATGTGACTAGTCCCATGTGACAACTTCCAACAAATATAATTCAGACTCTAACTAGATCTGTTAATAGTCTCAGTGTTCATGTATAGACACGTATAGCAATATAGTTAATTTAAATCTAGGTAGCTGAATATTAAAAGTTTTCATAGTTGAGCTAAATAATTTGTGAACCATACATAAGCTGAATTCTAACTAATGCTGATTTTAAGTACAGAGGATAATTGATACAAATGTTTTTCCTGGTTCTAGTCTTCTGAGCAAAGACTCAGGTATGCTAATTTATATTATCGGAATATAACAACACAGAGTCATGACCAACTAATGAATAAGTCTACTTTGTTAGTAAATGCTTGCTTTTTTAGAACAGATTTTTAGAGTGGAGAATGTTTGAGTAATGGACTAAAAAGGAATGAGAAATTTTGTCTTATTGAGTGATACATGTTCAGAGTGAAAATAAGTTTGTTCTTCAAAGTTACCCTTTTTTTTAAAGCTCATTCTCAGTCAGGAAGACTTAACTACTTTATTGAGGACTCTGAATGAAAATTTAGGGGACAGTTCTGGTGCTCCACCTCCTTTACCAGAACTGAAAGATACCAGTAGCAACTGCAGCGATGCCCGCAGTACTTCCCAGCATTCTGCCGGTATGTTCTTTAAACTTAAGCAACAATCCAGAAGCATTATATGGTATTAACAGGTTAAATTTTTTGGTGGATTTACAAGGATGTCTCATTTTAACTATGTTTAAATCATATGTTTATACTAGCCAATTAGCCCGTCATAACACGGGATTTTCAGGTCTCTCCTCCACGTTGGTCTCTCGCTCCCTCTCTCTCTTCTGCCGGTATGTTCTTTAAACTTAAGCAACAATCCAGAAGCATTATATGGTATTAACAGGTTAAATTTTTTGGTGGATTTACAAGGATGTCTCATTTTAACTATGTTTAAATCATATGTTTATACTAGCCAATTAGCCCGTCATAACACGGGATTTTCAGGTCTCTCCTCCACGTTGGTCTCTCGCTCCCTCTCTCTC